TGTCTTTTGTATGTAGTTACGGTCGCTTGATGTCTAGACGATGCACGGGCCGGCTCCAATGAAGACTAATAGGACCTCTCACGACTGCGTCGCCCCTTCTGGCTTTGGGATTTAAGCCAATTCCTTCCCCTGTATTCGACTTAGTGTAAGCCTGGTTACAGAAATTATTGAACTGAAAGGCACGTCTGATCATACCCTGGCTCCAGAGGTCCGTTCCTAAAATACCTAATATGAAATAAACCGTGCTTATGGTTTGATCTCTCGGCGCTTCGCCCCTCGTTGACGCGGCTTGGCAGCGAACGATCAGTGTCGATAAGAAAAAAAATATCCTCTGGAACCCAGGGTAGTCTTATTACTGAACTTATTGGAAAAGAACCAGCGTTTCCCTTTGCTATTCAGTTTACAAATCACGAGAACGTCATTTGACGCTTTTGGCACTTGCGAGAGAAAAGCATTGTGTCTGATATGACCTTATGATGTCACATATTGATTACTTTGGGGTGAAATTGATCAAAATAGTTAAAAGACGTAACTCACTGGGCTTTAATCTCCTTCGCGAAAATTGAAGGACCATCCGCTTTTTTAATAAGTTATCGTGCACAAAAGAATCTTCCTGTAATAGGTAAAAAAAACCTCAACTTTTGCAAGAATTATGGCAGTTTCCGAGTCATTAGTTTAAAAACTACTATTTCTCGAATCGAGGAGCGTTTTAAATCCCTGGAAAACACGTGATTTCTTACCCTCATTCCGTTTCGGGGCAGGGTGTTCAAAGTCTTATCACGTGGATTTCAAACAAAACAATATAAACGGTGCAGTTTGAAGCAATATGCATTATTTGACAATTTTAACTGTTTTTGTGATAGCGCTGAGAGGAAATTACTCATCACCTGATCAAATGGTAGGTAAAATTTTGTCTCCGTTTGCTCCACGTTTACTGACTCATTACAAGTTTATTGTCGCGACACCGATCATTTAACATTTCCAACGAGGCATGCAAGGTAGATCAGCTATTGGTTTCTAGAAAAGTCTCTACATATAGCTCATCATGTATAGAAAGTTGCCGCATGTTCACACAACTAAGCGCTAGCAATCTCTACTTCTCCAGCTGCTTCTTGGATTTTGTGTTTGCGAGTGTCGAGTGACCTTTCCAACCTGCCTATTGTCATTCCTCCGACACGAGTCTAGTCTCTGTCCGCAACTGAAAAGACTGGTCGCGCGAACGTTCCTTGGTGGTTTCCGTGGAGTGTTTTTTTTTCTGTAACCCTGGATCTCCTCCAAAAAAGCGGGAAATAAAAGATAAGTGCAGTAGGAAAACGTAATACAGTGAGAAACTCCCGGGGACAAACTGAGGATTTTTTTGTTACCTTATGTACCAAAAGATGACCCTCTTGAGAATGGCTTGCGTTACTGTCTTAACCGCTTATAAACTGAATTACTTAGTTTGAAAAAAAATGTCTCAGTTTAGAGGGATATCCAATTCTTTTGCTCGACTTCCATTTCAATAGCGTTTAGCCGCTTAACAAGTAAGATTTTTTGTTTCTTCTATGGACTAAAAAAAAACTTGCATGCCTTTATTGAATGGCCAGTACGGCTCTTCAGATGCCCGGTGCAACCGCGTGTGTACGTGTATAAAAAGGTAAGATTCAAAAATAACTCGTGATCATTGCAATGATGTCGTCATTGTACGGGGGTTCCCCGTGATTCCATTCATGATGAATATTTGCATATGCCCCCAGCAGTATAATCATAGAAAACACTATGAAAAATTGATTAAGCGTTAAAAACCGATATAGATGATCTCTTAAACTCGTATTCACAAAATACCGAATTTTGTCGAGCAGATTGTATTTATGCTTAAACAAGCCAGGCGTAGTCAATCGATAGAAATCGATATCGGAAATCAATTGATACACTCGATATCAATCGCCGATTGCTATCGATTGATATCGGTAATCAATAACAATCGAACTCACAGAAAAAGAAAACGATAAAAATACCAAAATATATAGAAAACCTACAAAATGGGCAGGAAAAGTATGGCACAAAAAACCTCGCGTGCGTGTATAGTTGGGAAAAAATTTAAAAATATATATATTTTCTTCAAATTTTAGTAAGAAATTGATTTGGACGGTTATTTAGATAAATTTCTTACCTGAATCAGTTTACATTTGCCTAAAGAAGCATTAAATGCTTTGCGCAAAATACAGTTTATAATCGGAACGAACTTTTGAAACACCCTGTATAAGACCGTGCTTCTTACTTAGGCAAAGTGAAGTAACTTAAAGATTTACTTAGGCCCTCGAACACGCATTTTTGGCTGAGTAAGCTGCTAAGTTTTATCAACCAAAAATGTGCGTGTGAAGGCTTATGTAAAAATCTCATTCAAGTGACTTTAATTTGCATCTCAAGTCGGAAAGTTGAAGCGATTCAGGAAAGTTTCAGTGACTTGAAAGCCATCCTTATAACCGACTTAGATGACTTGCGGTTTCTAGGGCTTTTAATCAGGCTTTATTTCTCTCTGTGTGACAAACTGCCCCGACGCTCTTTGGATTTGAAATTGGCAAATTGGGTTTCTATAAGGAGTCCAAGGTAGGAGAAACAAGTGGCACATCACTTTTTGTTGAGACCTTGGCAACTCTCAAGCGTGCAGTCGAGTCTTTGCTCGAATGAAGGCTCGCTGCTTGCAACATTTTGATTCTATGATTTGATGCAAGTGGAGAAAGAAATATAAAAATAGACCAAAAATATTGGCAAAACCCTCCCCTCCTCCACCCCTCTACAGAACCGCCACCACGATCACTTTTAAGTAAATGATCCAATAAACTCCCCCTCTACAATGTTAAGTTTGTATAAGACGCCCCTTTCTAAAAAAAGGCCCCATACCTAATAATAGACGCCCCCCCCCCCCCCCCCCCCCAAAAAACCCCCCCCCAAAAACCAACAAACCCCCCCCCGTCCCCCCCCCCCCCTTCTTTTTAATACCCCCAAAAACACACCTTTCTCTTTTTACCACAAATCACCAGTCTTTTCACTTCTCCTTTCTATGGTAATCCCCAAGAAAACTCATTTTCCTCTTTAAACCAAAATTCCCGGATATTTGAATGATTATTTAGGGTTGCCGACTATAACCCATTCGAATCGTGTTCCATAATCTACCGTTAATTAATTTCAGTCGTCTTCTCAAGACGCAGTTTCGTTCCGACTTGGGACCGTTCAAAAGATGGCTGAAATTCAGGCTGTTAACATGATTGCATTCTAATCCGTCAAAATCGAGGTTTTGTAAGCGTGGCCTGAAATCGATGAGGCGGTGAACTTCGGCTATGTCGTGATCATCGCCAGTAAAATCTGCGATGCCCAGGAAACTACGTTTCAGTCAGTTTGCAAATTCCTCCGCATAGTTTCGTGTAGGCATTCCATCAGTATTTTGGGAGAGCTCGTAAAAGCGACGTGTCCACAAGGCAAGAGTTTACTGTTACGCTGCTTACCATTTGGCAAAAATGTCCGAAATTCTTGAGGGGAAATCAAGTCATACACCAATTAATTTGCAAATTACAAATTCCGAGTTACTTCCATGCAGCGGTACCCCTTCTCCTCCCTTTCAGAATGGGAAGTCGCAACCGCCTCTTCCTCAGGGCTTTTCCCCTAGAAAACTGAAGGGACGACCCTCACATTTTCTAAGGGAAAACCCCCGAAGACGAGGTTGGTGATGTCTGGGTATTGTGTACAATTCACTCATTTTTACGAATGTCAAGCGATTGCAGGTAAGTGTTACCAAACGTGCATTTACAATTTATTACCATGAACAACAACAACAAAAATCGATAATAAATAAATAAAAAACTTGATGGAGCCTTCGCGTCATCTTCGATTATTCTTTTATTATTATTAGTCTAACTATTATTGTTGTAACCATCTTTTTAACTTGTTTCTCTTTAATATCAGACGGATAATTTTCTTTTGTCATGACTTAATTTAAAACACTGGGCTGCCTGCAAGAGTTACATGTATTGATCGCATCTGAGCCGCAAGGAATGAACTTGGGAAATCGTTATTGACACTATGATTTATATAATTCTAAATATGTTTCATAGTGCTTAATTCTTACTTCCAATATTTCTGTAAATTATGTACATATTTTTTAAAGTTGAATAAAATTGTTGGTTGTTGTTTTTAAAAATTATTATTATTATTATTATTATAATTATTATTATTATTATTATTATTATTATTATTATTTGTTTTCCGTCACAAACCGGAAAACGAATAATCAAAACGTACGGTCATTCATTAGCAACCGGTTCATGGTGGCAAATCTGGGTAATTAGCCATGAAAACAGCAACTAAATCTTGTGAATGATCTGTGCCTGATAATATTGAGAAAAAATAAAATAAACTAATTGGAGAAAGCAAGTACACACTCAGTAATCCGTTTTTTTTTTATCCGCGGACGTACAATGTACATTTAGTCAGTGCCATAACACCGTCACAAAAAAATGCTAAAAGGAAAAATTTAAAAATTTAAAATTAAAGCAGCACAGGAATTATTACACTCACTGCTAACTAAATTAATAACTGTCGATTATATTCATTTGCAACAAACGCGTAAGTCATTACATTTTTTAAAATTTTTTAATTTACATTTTTGTTTTTGTTTTAACGCCTTAAAAACTCCTATACTGCGAATACGGGTGTTTATGATTTTACTATTTTGGATAGCGCTCCTGTGCATCCTCCTCCCAATCTAATCCAAGGGAAAAGCCCAAGGGAACGAGGCTGCCCCTTGAAGTAATCAAACGTCCCTAATAGCTATATATAATGGAAGAGGACGGATGCGACTTCCCCTAATACATATGAAACGGGTAATTCAAGTTCATGTAATATGCTATGATTATCTCTGAGGGGTGAAATACGTTTAATCCCCGTTTACTATATAATTATTATTACTTTTTTTTTTTTTTTTTCACGGAACAATAAGTTCATTCACTTTTAGGGAATTCATAATGAGTAAAAATTGCCGTTATAAGTTCTTGTCCCATTTCTACCGATCACATTGTTACTCACTCATCAGAGTTCATGTCTGTAGCTTAATCATGCCAGGTTACAGTTTGGCTGCAGTTGACCAGTCAGGAATCGACGAAAAGAGTCTATGCCCTAAATGTAAGGGTCTTCTCAAGGAAGCTGTTCAGACCATAGAGTGTGGTCACAGATACTGCAAAACATGCGTCGATGCCCTGTTAAAGTAAGTTAATATGATCGTGGACGACGAAGTAAAATTTAATGAAGGCGAAAATAGTTTAAGAAGAAAAAAACATTTCTCAACAAACAACCAAAACACGCTTGGCTTAAGAAGTCTGGCTATGGTAGCTATAGACTCTTCCCCGTTGATGTTGTTGTTGTTTTTTTTCGTCAAAACAGCTTAGACTTACGCCTTAAAATTCGTAAAGATGCCAAATTTGAACGTGATTGGTTGAAAACTAACGAAGATTTAGCTTCGAAAAGTCACCGAATTTCAAATTTCACTGAATTCAGTGGAAGTTGTTGATGCACACTGATTACTTAACAAATGACCCGTTTATTCAGGAAATTTGAAAATGAATCTTTTCAGGGTCAGAACTCCCTGAGCTGTTGACGAAAGGTTATGGGTATTTAAATGAATTTACAAAAGCGTTTATTTTACTCTTTTTTGTCTCTGATTTAGCCATGGAGATGGAAAGTGTGTTATTGATCGATCAAATATTATACCAGAACAGGTAAGTTTACTTCATTCCTTTTTCTTACGTCATATCTACTTTTGGACTCCTTTTTTTTCCAGTAAATCCTTTTCTTTTCGATTGTAAGCAAGATTACAATACAGGAAATATTTTGTTTCATTTCTTTTTCCCGCTTTTTGCAAGTTTCAACATCTATTTTTGATTTAAACACTTCCAATAAATTTCCCTCCGCTACTCAGAGGCATAACAATTTTACTATAATCGCCACCTTCATTTAAGAAAAAGACGGTTATTTTCTTTTAGATAATTTTAAAACAATCTTGTACATAGCGTTTGGAAACCAAAATACCTATGACAAGACACAGATTTACGGCAACCCATGTAACTAAATCGAAGTGCCTCTCTCTTCCTGAGCTCTTACTGGAGGAGGGTCATCCACTAGAAGATAAGCGTTTGTTTTTTCTAGATGCTGCAGTTTTTATTCTTTCCTTGCGTAAACTATATATTTTTTTGTCTTTTTTTTTCAATCTGTATCACATGCAAACCGAGCATGCACTGGAGTGAAATAAATCTCATTCTCTTGTCTTGCCTTGTCATTCTTGTCTTGTCCTATAAGATTTTGAACAAAGAAATGTTACGGAGACCGGATGTGTTCGCATGTTGTCATTTTCTATTTTTATTTGTGAGATCAGTATTAACTCTGGGTTTCAATAACATTTCAGGTGTTCTTGGACAGATTTATTGAACGTGAAATCCAATCAATGTTGGTTCATTGTGTTCATCATGATCAGGGTTGCGATTGGAAAGACGAGTTAAAGAAACGAGAGGTATACAGTAGTAGTGTCTCTGAAGAACTTATCAGTTTATTTTTCTCTTTTATTTAGTATCGTGCTTCCTTCAGCAAAGTGTGCGGGTACAAACGATACGGAGATCTGTGTGGCGACACCCTTATAACTCAAGTTGTTTAAGCCGGTATTGCGAGCGCTAGACTTAATAGATTTTTTCTCTGCAAATAATTTACATATGAAAATTGTGTTAAGTTCCCAGAGGAAAGAAACGCCTTTGTTCTTGATCACCAAATTGAACGTGGCCGCCTTGAAGTTAAGTACATGCAAAGCAACGATTTGTTTTGTCAAGAGAGATGGGACGTGACTCTCTTATTATAATCAAGGGAGTTAAATTTCTCTAGTGCACTTATTTTCGATTTAGACTAATATGCGATTTCATGGTGCCCCGCACCAGACTTTCCATGTTTGTCATTACAAAACAGTAGGTTATTTTTTTTTACGGTTTTTGACCATGCCGTGAACGATATCTTACGGATATCAAATGTTCTTTATCCTAGTTATATCCTTGGAGACTCCGGGGAGGAAAATCTTTCCATCGATTTCCTGCTTGACATCTGACTACATCACTAGTTCAACTGAATAAAATTGCCGTTAAAGTATGCATGTACATATACGTTTTCAGGATCATGAAGCAGTCTGTGCATACGTTCAAGTACCATGTGTCCATTCAAAATGCGGGGAACTAGTGACTAGGGCAAATCTGGTAGAACATCTTGAGCATTCATGCAAGTTCAGAATGGAAAAATGCGGGTACTGCCACGCTTTGGTAGAAAATGCATTCATGAAGGTAGATGTTAAGTTATTTTACTAAGGTTTACTTTTTTGTATGTTTGTTTTGTTGTTGTTGTTGTTGTTGCTATTACTTATATTTTAAGCCCAATTTTCTAACAATAGGTATGCATCCTTCCTCGTAATGCAGCTTTAGGTTTTGTCGTAATATGCCGTTTTTTCTCTGCAAATAATTCGTCGTATCGCCGTACTAAAATTTTCTTAACTTTGGATTAACCTACCTTATAGTTTCTTGTTTCTTGCAATCTGGTCTTTAATGGCTGATTGCCGTTTTAAAATCCCTGAAAACCCAAATGAATGTTTATGAATCATGGATCTTCAGGTGAATGAATTATATTGCTGCTGTAGTAGAAACGAAATAATATGGTAAGCTAATCAGGTATTATTATGCACAGGGTCACCAGGAATCTCAGTGTCCTTCAGTCCCTACAGTTTGTCCAGAGTGTGACAGGAAAGACATTCCTCGAGCTCAGGTGAGTGTTTCCGCCCCTCGTAAGGAATCCAAGACAGTCTTGGATTCTGGATCCCAAGCCGTTGATTTCGGATTCCAGGTAGTGGGTTCCAGTCAGTGTCAGTGGAGTTTGGATTGTGGATTCCAATCGTTAGTAGGATTCCGCATTCCACAAGCAAAAATGTCCCGGGTTCTGGAATCCGGATTTCCTTACATGGAGCTACACGGGGCGAATATCTACTGAGGCTGCCGTCTCAATCAACATGTACATTTAATTTTATCTTATTTGAATGGGTAATCCCATGATTTCCAGTGCAATTTGAAATAAATAATCACGAGTATATTTTTCAAAGACCAACAAAGTGCACGAGCCAGTAGGGCAAGTGCACTTCGATGTGGCCTTTGAGGAATTTACGTATACAAGTGCTTATTTATTCCAAACTGGATGAGAAAAATTATGTGATTAACTGATTAATTTACTCAAATTTATCATATATTGAGTGTTTTCAATTCGCCTTCCGTTTATCAATATGTAGATGCTATGTACAGATCAATTTTTTGAAACAACTTTATTGGTTTTGATCTTAACCCGTTTAGATGTCTGCTCATATTGATCCAGTGAATGGAGACTGCGAGGGAGTGCTATCACATTGTCTGTGGACACAGATTGGGTGTTCCGAGACTAAGGTATGGAAACTGCGACTTCAATTCAGTTGATTAAGAAGTTGATAGTTTCGTAAATATTGAAAGAGATGAGCATGGTAAAAAAGAAAAAGCTACACTGTAAATGGTATACTGTGTCAGCGACGGAATAGAATACGAGAGTATAATTGTCTGCCGAAACAGACGATTTTTCAGCTCATGCTGGCTATTTCCAGTCAAAAAAAAAAACAAAACAAAACAAAACAAAACAAATATAATATATATATATATAAGGCAGGTACTTAACTGTGATGATTTTAAGACTAATTAATTTGGAAGACCGTAGTATCCCCAATTGTACTATCAAGTTAGAATACACTCTAACTATGCATCACATGCAAACGGGATGTGATCATAACCTTCAAATTTATATACGTTAACTTGTGCAGAACGAAAAACCCTTGTCAGTGGTTGGAGTATAGTAAGTGCAAAAATTAAGTATCTTTCGCTATATCAGCCGTTCACGTCTTTTGATTCATTCTAGTTCAACATGAACGAGAGCTTTACACCAGTCAAAGTGTAAGTAAACAATAGCTTTAAAAATTTGAAACAACAACAACAAAAAAAAAACTAACTAGTTAGGTACCCTTAGTGCAATTTAGTAAGTAATTTTACATCATCACTTAGAACTCTCTTTCTTTCTTTCTCTCTCTTGATTATTTTTCCAGACTATGAAGAATGTCCTTTCTTTCTAGGTACTTCTTTCTGTACGGAGACAGGTGGACTACGAGGAGAAAGTCTGGCAATACGTTGAGAAACGTTAACAACCTTCCTTGCACGCTCTTAGACCATTAAACAGTGTGAATGGAGTAAATCTCCCTGCGCAAACAGAATTGGAACATTTTTCCAAACAAGTGGAGAATGTGCTAAAGGAAAACGATGAATTAAAATCTAAAGTAGTTGAACAAGAACAGCGAATACAACAGTTGGAGGGCGCTGGACAGAATGGCCCTCTACCAGGAAACTCAGCTGGGGCTGCGCTCTATTCGCCGTTAGGTGAGGATCTTTTGAACAGAATAAATACAGGAGAGGTGAAGATAGCCGATCTAGAAGTTTTGTTCGTTGAAGGCAACAAGCTTAACGAAGAGATTCAGCGTCAAGTCTCTAGCATAGCCAGGCGACAGGAGTCTTGGAATGGGACCGTGGATAGACTACAGAGACAGTTTGAATCCATGAGTCACTCATTAGCCCTTCGAAATGTAATGATGACCGATTTGGATGAACATGTTAGAGAGCAACAAGTTTCTAGTCATGATGGAGTCTTGGTTTGGAAGATTTCTGACTTCGCCAAAAGAAGACAAAATGCTGTCACTGGATATGAAACGTCGTTTTACAGCCCTTGTTTCTTTACCAGTCGCTATGGATACAAGATGTGCGCACGCGTTTACTTGAATGGTGATGGCATTGGAAAAGGTACGCACATTTCAGTCTTCTTCGTGGTCATGCGTGGTGAGTACGATGCCCTTCTCCGCTGGCCATTTAGACAGAAGGTGACGTTCATGTTGTTAGACCAGAACAACGTGGAACATGTGATCGACTCGTTCAGACCTGATCCCAACAGCTCCTCATTCCAGAAGCCAAGAAGAGAAACAAACATCGCCAGTGGATGCCCTACATTCTGTCCCCTATCCGAAGTAAACAATCATGCATATATTAGAGATGACGTCATGTTTGTGAAGGTCATTGTCGACACCACCGATTTGTAAAGCAATTTGAAAACTCCAATTAGCTAGAAATTATGAACTTTTTAACCTGATTTAAAAAAACTTATAAAGAGACAAAGATAACAACACAACAAAATCAAATCAGGAGGCTGTAATTTGATCACTTATTAGATGTCTCTACAGAAGTGGAATGGATACGAGACAGATCGAGAAGTGCGTGCGCATCTACTGGAACATAGAGCGCACTGAAAATAGTTTCTTCCCTTGCCATGCTGGCAGAGGGTCACGTGTTTTGGATCATTATCAACTCGGAACATATGGTAGACATTAAGCCTGATCCCAAAAGCTCAGAGGAGACTGGAGGTTTGGATCTGCTCAAAGACGATCACCCTGACCTTGGCTAACGGTGACTACAATGGATTGTAGGAGCTATGGAGCTATGGTTTACCTGCCGAATCACACGCATGCACTGTGCATGCGCATGAACTACACACTTGCGGATGTTAAGCTCGGAAATAAACATGAATTCATGACTATTTCAAATGCCTGACTTCCAATCAGTTTCGAACACTTTTTCAATAACCATTAACGTGAAAAAATTGAATTGACCTACTCGAATAGCTCATTGAATGACTCTTGAATCTTAACAACTCAATTAACCGTTCCCGGCAACCTCGTTTATATTTAGAATATTATATTGGAAATTATTGGGAATGTTCGAAAGTATTTTAAACATGTTCGGCAATATTCGGATTACACTGTTCGGATGTCGTAGGAAATTTCTTATTTTCGGGTAATATGGTTTCAAAAATCTAACGCATTCGTTTTACTTATAAAGAGTTGGCAGGTTTACAATAGTTAGGTAATATCGAAATAGTTTTGTTTGGCTACAAGAAGTTAATTTTTTATGTTTCAGTTAGGTACTAGAGCCAGATAGGGTTTTACTCCGGGCCCACTGCAGGTTTCCTCTCTCTAGAAACAATAATTTTTGTAGTATTGACTTTTAAAAGATAAAAGAAATAAAATATGTGGATGAAAAGTAAATATCCTATCCATAAACTAAAATTATAAAGTGCATTGCGAGTTTATTCATTGGCTAGCTAAGTTGTTAGGAAAATAGTCTGATCACAGACTTTCAACTTTTCTCCATTTGTAGTTTAAACTGAAAAAGGCGCTGAGAATTTATTGACTCACTTTTTGGCGGGGGTGGGTTTGGTTTTTGGCTTTCTCAGCCTTCGTCCTCGGTTTTGAGGGCTTGCTTTGCTAGCAAACTCCAGGCACTTAACTAGTCAAAGAAGTGCATGTTTATCCGTACTAAATGAACTTACTTTTTTTTATAAGAGTTTGGAAGAAATTATGCCCAGTTTGCTCAGTTCTGCCAGTTGACAGGATAATTCAAGAATCTCTTTTTACGCGTATCTCTGATATGAATTGAGCGATATATCTGCGGCAATGACATATATACCTAATTCAATGAAGGTTACTTTAGTATTTGGTCATTAGCAATTGGTCATTGGGCATTTGGGTCGTTTTACGGAACTCGCTGCAGTCAGATTTGCTTGAGTGACCGCCAAACAACAGCTTTTCAGAGCGCAAAGCCCAATACTCAAAGCAACCTTTATCGAATAAGGTATTTCTTCTGTGTCTCCGCTTTATTAGACCTTTAGATTCAAGGACAAGGACGACTACGAGTACGAGGTTTAACTTAAAGTTTTTTCGCGTTTCGCGTATTCTCAAAATATTGACTCCCCGAAAAGCTTCATTTTACAATTTTTTACTAGAAAAGTTAGCACTGTTAAATTTATTGAGGAGGTCACAAATGCCTGTAAAGCACTAAGTATTGAAAGCATGGTTGGTGAGGTGTTTTGACCAGAGTCATCCGGCTCGTCATGAACAGCAGGAGTTGCCTGCTCTTTCTGTTTGGTGCTTTGGCCTTCAGCAGCGGCCTGGCTTTTATTCATGCTGAAAAAGAGCGGGAAAAACGTAAACCGGAAAAAAACTGTAACGAAGGACGATAATTCACTCTTAGCTGTATGTAGGTTTTGTCGAGAAGAATAGCCAAGAGAACTAAAAGTACGTGGATGAATTTTTAATTTGTGTCTTGAACGTCGACAAAACAATACAAAAGTACCCCACAACGATAAAAGCCGGCCTTCTTCAACGCAAGAACAACACAACTGATTTGACGCACGCGCTGCATTTTCTCCTCGTACCACTTCACGACCTTGGCTGATGACGAAATAGAAGTTTTAACATTTGATAACTTGTTTTCTCCACCTCGGTGACGACGAAGTGACGACGGCTACCACATTTCCCCGCCCAAATGACGCTGTTTCACGCGCGAGCACTACTTAGCACTGATGCGATGCACCTATCAATGTAAAGCCGGCAGGGGGAGGGGGGTTGGGGAAGGCAGGGCATGGGGTGGGGATTTGACATTTTTCAAAAATTTGCCGTCAACTTCCCTGCCCACGGGCAAATCATTCCAGTCAAATGCAATCAAGTTTCCCCACCCCGGGGCTGCACATTGCTTTCAAATATCCCAAGGCAGAACCCAAGAAAGACACAATGAAAATATTTCCAAATAAAACTCTGCAATCTTTATTTATAAACGTTGCTGCATCACCAAAGATACATGCATGTTCCTGGCCTTTTGCAGCTGCAATTATACGTTTTAACCATAATCCGTGTTACACTGCGTAGAATACAGAAACCTTTCAGGAGAAAGTCCACATTTTGTAAGTTCAAATATAGCATTCTTAGTAAATTAAGGGTACAAAGAAAGTCACTTTTACAAGCTTTATACAGTGATTGTAGCGAATGAGCCATACACTCATCAATTGTAATCCGTTTTTAGCTGAAACAAAGAGAAATGTCCCGAAGGCAAATGAAACTATGGTGTCATAGAATTCTTCTAGTGAACTAGTTTTTGTGCGATTTTGTTTGCTTTAAACTTCTGTTTTGTGACTTTAGGTGAGTGCTTTCGCTTGTCCCCTCGGCCTCCATGATTTCCAGATCTTTCCAGACCGTACGGCGCATGCGTGAAGCGTGGAAGCGGGAAACAAGTTGAGGAAACGTAGAAACATATGTTCGGTCTCAGTCTTTTTCGTCCGAGTCGGCAGTCAAGTATCTCCACGTCGGGCGAAGAAAGATTCAAATATCCCCTCTTCCTGGGAGAACAAGATCAGTCAAATGCCCTACCCCAGGGCCAAAAAAGACAATCAAATCCCCACCCCATGCCCTGCCTAACGCCTCCCCCCAACGCCGGCATGACATTGATAGGTGCTTGAGAAAATCTCGTACTCGTAGTCGTACTCGTCTTAGAATCTAAAGGTCTCTATTTTACCGTTAACTACCGCATAAATGCTGGCCTATCGAGAAAAGCGCATCCATCTTTTTCTTGCCCAATTTTACGTGAAAATTGGATGCATGGTATGCATGACATTCAACTCACTTGAGTGTTTGTTAAAGCTATGTTTACGTCACTTCCGCTACTTTCACTTCCTTTCAGCCCCAGCCCCCCACAGGAATTTTATCCTCATTGTCTTGAGTAGTGTGTATATGTGTTGCTCTTTTACAAGAATACCTCGTCTTCTGCAAGTATTGTTAGGTAAATTTCTGTTTTACTATCCATATTTTTATACTACTTTGGTTTTGCGCCAATTTATGACGATACTCAAAGCACTAAAGTTGTTTAAAGATGGCACTATGAAGATCAAAATTCTATTGTAGCAAACCCTAATATTCCGGCAGCAGATTGTATTCATCAGCTTTTAATTTTGCTATTCTCAATATTCCCAGAATATTGTTTCAGATCATCATTATGTCCACGCAAGTAGAACTGAAAGACGAAGGTGTACTCAAGGACGCAATCAGTGATGTCAGGAGCGACGCATCCCCTACTAACNGCAAAAATCGACTTTGTTTCTCTTTACAGGGCTTCCGTTTACTTTGATACCACAGTATCTTAAGAAGATCACTTGATCAAAAACACGCTAAAACAAACGAAATTTGAAGACAAAACACTGAAATCCACTCAGCTTTCGCTTGTCCCCTCGGCCTCCATGATTTCCAGATCTTTCCAGACCGTACGGCGCATGCGTGAAGCGTGGAAGCGGGAAACAAGTTGAGGAAACGTAGAAACATATGTTCGGTCTCAGTCTTTTTCGTCCGAGTCGGCAGTCAAATATCTCCACGTCGGGCGAAGAAAGATTCAAATATCCCCTCTTCCTGGGAGAACAAGATCAGTCAAATGCCCTACCCCAGGGCCAAAAAAGACAATCAAATCCCCACCCCATGCCCTGCCTAACGCCTCCCCCCAACGCCGGCATGACATTGATAGGTGCTTGAGAAAATCTCGTACTCGTAGTCGTACTCGTCTTAGAATCTAAAGGTCTCTATTTTACCGTTAACTACCGCATAAATGCTGGCCTATCGAGAAAAGCGCATCCATCTTTTTCTTGCCCAATTTTACGTGAAAATTGGATGCATGGTATGCATGACATTCAACTCACTTGAGTGTTTGTTAAAGCTATGTTTACGTCACTTCCGCTACTTTCACTTCCTTTCAGCCCCAGCCCCCCACAGGAATTTTATCCTCATTGTCTTGAGTAGTGTGTATATGTGTTGCTCTTTTACAAGAATACCTCGTCTTCTGCAAGTATTGTTAGGTAAATTTCTGTTTTACTATCCATATTTTTATACTACTTTGGTTTTGCGCCAATTTATGACGATACTCAAAGCACTAAAGTTGTTTAAAGATGGCACTATGAAGATCAAAATTCTATTGTAGCAAACCCTAATATTCCGGCAGCAGATTGTATTCATCAGCTTTTAATTTTGCTATTCTCAATATTCCCAGAATATTGTTTCAGATCATCATTATGTCCACGCAAGTAGAACTGAAAGACGAAGGTGTACTCAAGGACGCAATCAGTGATGTCAGGAGCGACGCATCCCCTACTAACTGGTAAATTTCTCTAACTCGACAGTGACTTGAGTAACCTTAGTAGGCGTTGCTTGAAGTTTTGCTCAGCTGTTCA